TTATGTTCGGTTCCTCTGAAGCATGAGTACCAGTACTTCAGGGTAAGTATGTGTATAAACACACAGCCAGGCTCTAACCTACACATAAAACACTATTTTGGCTGGGTGTCGTGGCTCACACCTGTAATCCCAGCACTTTGGGAGACCAAGGTGGGCAGATCACCTGAGGTCAGGAGTTTGAGACCAGCTTGGCCAACATGGCAAAAACCTGTCTCTACTAAAAATACAAAAATTAGCCAGGCGTGGTGGTGTGTGCCTGTAATCCCAGCTACTAGGGAGGGTGAGGCAAGAGAATCGCTCGAACCTAGGAGGCAGAGATTGCAGTGAGCTGAGATCATGCTACTGCACTCCAGTCTGGGCAACAGAGCAAGGTTCATCTCAAAAAAAAAAAAAAAAAAAAAAACAGAAAAAACACTATTTTGGAGAACCCCAGAGGCACAATAGTGCTTCTCAACGAGGGCAATTTTTGCCCCTCTGCTGGGAAGGGGGAGGATCAAGCACTGTCTAGACACATTTATGGTTGTTGCAATGGAGACGGGGTACTGCTGGCATCTAGTGAGTAGAGGCCAGGGATGCTGCTAAACAGCCTACATGCACACACCTAGCACCCCCATGACAAAGAAAAGAACCAGCCCAATATGCCGAGGCTGAGAAACCCTGCTCTATATAACTTGACTATTGTTAGTACTTCTGTGGTCAAAGTAGAAATACTCCATGTCTAATGCTATGAACAGCCACACATTTGCCAGAATTATGCAAGGAGTAGTTGGCTCAGAAGCTTTGTTTTTAGGCTTGCAGGATTTGCTTTTCTTTAAATAAAAACAAACAAACAAACAAAAAAGGTGGGGGCACTATTCAAACAGCACACATATATGACTAAAACATTCAAAGAGTACAGAAGGGTATATGGTAAAAAGTAAGTTTCCTTTCCACTCTAGCCCTAGCCAGCCAGCTCCCTTCTGAAGAAGACAATCCCTGTCAGCAGCTTCTTTTCCATTCCTCCAGAGGTATTCTAAGCACACAGAAGCAGTGTATGCATGAGCTCTTCCTCTGCCCCCATGGCCCCTGACTCCAACTGGCAGCATACTCTGTCTCCTGCTTTATAATTTACTTTTTCACAATATCATGGAGATCATTCCATTTACTTTTTCACAATGTCATGGAGATCATTCCATTTCAGCACACATAAATCTGTCTCATTGTTCAACAGCTAAACAGGAAATAATATGGTGTACTCAAAGATGATGTTGTTTCCAATATTTTGCTACTACTGACAATGCTGCATGAAATAATTTTGTATACTGCCTTTGGGCAATACATTGAAGAGAAGCTGGAAAGTAAATTCCTAGAAGAATTCCTGGATCATATGGCACAAACCTTTGAAATTTTGATGGAAAACATTCTTTTGAGTAAAACAAAAACAAAAATATAATAGGGAGATGAGTTACTCAAGTGCTCTATTTAGATGCTGTAATAATTATGTGGATATTCGAGTTATATAGCAAACAGCTCATGTGTTAATCATAAAAGATTGGTCACAGGAAGTATCTACATGCAGATAGTTCCTTTTATGACTTAGTTTCTAACCTTGGGGAACCAGGATAATAAAAACTAAAGGGGTCAAAAGACAGTAACAAGTACTGGTGAGAATGTTGAGAAATGGGAACTCTCAGGCATTGCTAGTAGGAATGTAAAATGGCGCAGTCGCTTTGGGAAACAGTTTGGCATTTCCTCCAAATGTTAAACACAGTTACCATATGATCCAGCAATTCCACTCCTAGGTATACACCCAGGGGAATTCAAAATCTGTATCTCCGGCAGGGTGCGGTGGCTCATGAGGTCAGGAGTTCAAGACCAGCCTGGCTAAGATGGCGAAACCCTGTCTCTACTAAAAATACAAAATTAACTGGGCGTGGTGGCAGGCACCTGTAATCCCAGCTACTTGGGAGGCTGAGACAGAGAATTGCTTGAACCCAGAAGGCAGAGGTTGCAGTGAGCTGAGACTGTGCCACTGCACTCCAGCCTGGGAGACAGAGGGAGACTCCAACTCAAAAAAATATATATATATGATATATAATCTATATATATCTATATATAAATATATAATATATATCTATATAGACATAAAATATATTTATATAGATATATAGATATATATCTATAAATATAAATATATATCTATAAATATAAAAATATATATCTATATATAAATATATCCATATATAAATATATATAAATATATAAGATATATATCATATATTGTTATATATAACATATGTTATATAATATATTGTATGTTATATATGTTATGGATAATATATATTACATATGCTATGTATAATATATATATTATATATGTTTTATATATAATATAGGCGTGGAGGATTTGCTTTTCTTTAAATAATATATAATTATATTATATTTATATTACACAATTATATATGTAACATATTTACATATGTGTAATATATATGTAATATATGTAATATAATTGTATATAATATAAATATATATTATATGTTATATAACATATATAATATATATCCATCTTCAAAGGAGAAAAAATTAGGTAGCCAAAAACAAAAACTATGTCCATCCATTCCAGCAGGTGTAGATAAAAAAAAAAAAGAAACTATATGTCCACTTACAAACCTTTAATATAAACATTCCTAACAGCATGATTTATAATAGCCAAAAGGTAGAAACAACCCAAATGTTCACCAACAAATGAACAAAATATGGCATATCTGTACAATGGAATATTATCCAGCCATAAGAAGAATAAAAGTATTGATAGATGCTACAGTATGCTTGAACCTTGAAAAAATTATGCTGAGTAAAGGAAGCCAGTCACAAAAGGCCACATACTGTAGAATTCCATTTTTATAATAGATATTCAGAAAAGGCAAATTCATTGAGCTAGAAAGTAGACTGATGATTGTCAAAGATGGGAAATGGGGCATGTGGGAGGGAGAATGGGGGCTGCCTACTGATGGGTATGGGGTTTCTTTTTGAGGTGATGAAAATGTTCTGAAATTAGTGACAGATGCACAATTCTGAATATAAGACCACTGAACTGTACATTTAAAGGGGTGAATTCTATCCCAATAAAGCTGTTACTAAAAACAAATACATGAGGCCTGGCGTGGTGGCTCACACCTGTAATCCCAGCACTTTGGGAGGCCGAGGCGGACGGATCACGAGGTCAAGAGATTGAGACCATCCTGGCAAACACGGTGAAACTCCGTCTCTACTAAAAAGTACAAAAATTACCTGGGCGTGGTGGCGCTCGCCTGTAGTCCCAGCTACTTGGGAGGCTGAGGCAGGAGAATTGCTTGAACCCGGGAGGTGGAGGTTGCAGTGAGCCGAGATTGCGCCACTGCACTCCAGCCTGGCAACAGAGCAAGACTCCGCCTCAAAAAAAAAAAAAAAAAAAAAATATATATATATATATATATATGGAGGACACCTGGCATACCATAGCTACACATTACAACTTCCAAAGCCTCTTTTGGAAAGAGATAAACTGAAATTCAGGGTAGCCCAAGCTGTTTCAGGTGGATAGAATATTTTCAGCAGAACTTACTGATTCATTGTTTTGTGTGTTTTTTTGAAAGTGTACAATTCAGTGGTATTTAGTGTATTGCAATGTTGTATACTGGTTCAATTCTCAGTATTTTAGAACCTGTAAATCATTAAGTTGATTAGCAAACCTATTGAGTACCCCATTTCTAGGTATTCTGGGAAGTAAGGAGGGAAGCACAGTTCTCATCCTCAAGAAACCAAAATCATTCTTAGGAAGAGAAGACATGCAGTGAAGAAGACGTCAGCATGTGATGGACCTTCAGAGACAGTAAAGAAAATTATCTCCATGGAGAAATAGGATTTCTAGATTGGGTTTTCCCCAGTATTTAGCAGACACAGAACATTCTAGTTTTCATAGAAAAAAAGGATAAAGAAGTGAGTAAAAACAGATCGAACGTATATATTTTTAAAACTCCACAAAACTACAGGGTCACAAAATGTTTCAAGAAGCAACATTAAATGGTAAAGCCAATCATTCACCATGAATGTTGATGACCATCTGAGATGAGCATTAGTGTCCTAACACGTAATGAACAGTCACTTGTCCCTGTTCCAGCCGGGGCCACGCCCTGCATGTCTTTCTGCTCCCACAGTGCTAGTGCAAAGTCCTGTACACAATCAAACGAATGAACGTCGTCATCACCCTTAAACACACACAGACACAGGACAGGTCTTGCTACATTCAGGCAGAAGCTCTCACTGCTTGTCTGAAGTGTGTGTCACAGTATGGAAACTGATTTCTTGACTCCTACATCAAGTTACTACTTGATTAGTATCTTCTATAATGGTAACAGATGAAAACTCAAAATGTAAACAAAAGGGAGACACCACAGCACAGTAGTTAAGAGCACAGGCTCTGGAGTCAGATCTGATTTGGGGGTTACCAGCTATGTGACTTTGGGCAAGAGACTTGACTCCTCTGAGTCTGTCTCCTCATCTGTAAAATGGAATGCAATTGCACCTAACAATAGGGTTTTGTGAGAGTTAAGAGACATTTCCTGAGGGTTTACTATGTGTCCTCGAAAAATGGTTGGCTGGCATTATGAAGACTGGGAACTCTCACAAATCAGGAAGTTCTGAAAGAGGCCACTTTTCCCCATCCTCATTGTCTTGGTCTTCTTTGCAAAGGCCTCTGGGTCTAGCAGTGCCTGGAATAGACCAGGAGCTGACAGGCTGGCATTAGGATACAGGTGCACGGCAGACCTGGGAGACAGTGAAGAAAAACAACAACTGGGAAGGCTTTCCAGAGTTCATTTGGAGACTAGCTTCAGGAATGCTGGCTATACCTAGGGCCTAGTTATTTGGTTAGTCCAGAGATTGTTCGGAATGACATCTGAGGGTGCAATGACCTCATACCTTACTGTCTACATTGTCATATAAATTCACACTATGAGTCTAAACAGATTTTTGCTTACCATTTAGAGGGGTTAAACAGCATCAGAGGAGGTTCAAATATATAAACTGAAACTGGTCAAAAAAGAATAGCCACATTTCAGAAAATATACCATTGGTGAGCTTTTTTTCCGTGATAAGGCTAGGATTTTTCTAAAAGGAGGCACAGTGAATTTAAGACATTGACATTTATAGCCGTAGCTCGACGCTTACTCTTGGAGGCCCAATTATCATCCCTGTCCATCTTGTAAGTGTCATGTCTTCGTCATCTTCTAGACCCCAGCTAACTGTGCCATCTCCTACTCCTTTCTGGCCTTCTTCGAGTTCTTCCAACAGTCGGAAATTGCGAGGGACTTTTACTCCTAAAATAAATGGAAAGAAATTCAAGATACCAGCAACTCCAGGGGAACTTGTAAGCCTAGAGCTAGCTGCTCATTATCGCTCCCTGGGAATAAAGATGCTAACATGCAAAAAAATCATGGGAAGTTATCACACCTCAAACTTGCCACTTATAAAGCTATCAGTATCAACCAGCACAACCAGAGGGAAGGGGCACATGGTTCTCTGACAGGTGAAGTGACTAGGGCTAGATAACCAAACTTAGATAACCCACCCCCACCCCTCGGACAAACCTTATAAGGGGCTTACATGTCTAAATGTCGATGAATTGGGGTTAACTAGTGTGAGATGAAAACCATCAATATCAAGTGCTAACAAAAGTACCTTGGAAGACAAGAGGCTGAGACTATGCTTATTTGTTGGCATGACTCTCAAACAACCTTTAGGAGGAATAGTCGCCATGGATATGGCAAATAAAAATGGTGTCCTCTTAGTCAACTAAGAGTCAATTGAAGGCACCAAGGATAAAATGTTCTATTGTTTTTCAATTATTTAAACGATAGTTTCTCTTTTAACTTACAAAAAAGGTAAAAGGGAATAGCTGGCTCTCTAATTTTTTCCCAAAAATCCCAAAGCCTGGCAAGTAGCTCTTGAAAGCAACACATGAAAACATCTCAGAGGTTCAAGACACAGTACCGGGTTCAGGCTGAGATTTGAGCCATTTCTAGATGTCTTCCAGAACAGAATATTGGCCAGACTCTCAAGAGACAAATAGGACTAACCATGTGACTGTGAAGAGAGGCTCACTTGAGGGACCCCAAATTGTGGGAGGTGTTGCCAGTATATGCATCTCCCAAAGTGTAGGACACATGCCATTAATTTAATTGGAATAAATATTTGAGCACCTATTATACATCAGGCACTTTTCTAAGCACTGAAGAACAAGCAGTGAATAAAACAAAAATGCCTGCAGCTTACATTCTAGTAGGAGACATATAATGGACAAAAATCAATATGTAAATTATACAGTATGATAGATTCTGCTGTTCTGGAGCAGGGAGTAATAGGGGAGGGGCAATACTTTCAAATGGAGTGATCGAGGAAAAGTGTTATTGCAATCGGGTGTCATAACTAAAGACCTGAAGAAGGTGACAGGGCATGATTTATGGATAGCTGAGGGGAAAGTCTTTGAGACAGAGCAAACAAGTGCAAAGGCCCTAAAACAGAGGCTTGCTTAAGGTGTCAAAGGACAGCAAGGAGGCCAATTTAGCTTAAACCAAGTGAGGGATGAGACAGCAAGAGGAGATTAAGGATGCCAACTGTTACTGCGTGACATGATCTGTCCCTCAGACTGCTGTGTGAGGACAAGAGTGAAGGGAGCAAGAGCAGAAACAGCTAGGGGGATACTGCAATAGTCCTAGCAAAAGGTAATACCGGCTTGGACCAGGGTGATAGCAGGAAAGTAGTGAGGAGCGGCGTAATTCTAGGCATTTGAGAGGTCTGAGCTGTGGAGATTTGCTATCAGGTTGCCTGTGAGGTGTGAGAAACAAGAGTCAACTACAGCTCCTGGGTTTTTGGTCCAAGCAGCTGAAAGACGGAGTTGTAGTGGTACGTTAGAGGACTTTAGGTGGTATGTGATTGAACACTTCGTTTTACAGTCATGTATTTATGTTTAAGAATAATTTATTTAGGGTAAGTAATATACTAACTTCCCATCCATAACAATGGTAAAAGTTTCCTTTAAAATAAATGTAAGCAAAAGAGTCAGTTGATTACAAAAAAATGTTAAATAATACTACATATGGTATTTGAAAGGAAACAGCAAAACCTACAAGCATACTTGAACTGTTTGTTTGGAAAACACTGGCATTTTCATCTGCACAGCAGCCAACTGGATTATTCAGCTACCCGGGACTGAGTCTTCTCTAGCAAACATAAAACTGAAAGACAGTGGTGACATTACAGGCAAAAAGTCAGACAACACAACTGTTGTTCAGAAAGGGTTCAATCTAAATCTTTAATGATTCTAATTAGGCTGGGGGGGAGAAGTCACTGCCTTACTACTGGTTAATTTATAAGCCTACACTAATAAAAATGAAGATCAAAAGAACATAAAATCATATTGATAGGAAGGCTAATGACTGAGGTACTTGTTCACAGATGGTGTTACGGCTGAACTGTGCTTCCCTCAAATTTATGTACTGAAGTCCTAACTCCCAGTACCTCAGAATGTGACAAAACCTGCTGACACCTTGATCCTGAGCTTCTGGTCTCCAGAGCTGTGAGAAATTTGTTAAGCCCCCACCCAGTCTATGGGATTTTGTTATGACAGCACTAGCAAACCCATACAGATGAGAAGTGACATCTTGTTTTTTCTTTTTTTTTTTGAGATGGAGTCTTGCTCTGTCGCCCAGGCTGGAGTGCAGTGGTGTGATCTCGGCTCACTGCAAGCTCCGCCTCCTGGGTTAACACCATTCTCCTGCCTCAGCCTCCCGAGCAGCTGGGACCACAGGCGCCCGCCACCACGCCCAGCTAATTTTTTTCTATTTTTTAGTAGAGACGGGGTTTCACCATGACAGCCAGGATGGTCTCGATCTCCTGACCTCATGATTCGCCTGTCTCGGCCTCCCAAAGTGCTCGGATTACAGGCGTGAGCTACCACGCCCGGCCAATAAGTGACATCTTAAGAAGCTTTATAGAGTTGGTAAGGATACAGAACAAGATGTTAAGAGTTATCTCTGGGTAAAAGAATTATGGATGATTCCCCCTACTTTCTCTATTTCCTGATTTTTTACAACAATCCCATGTTATTTGCATAACAAAAAACCAATTAGGAACCATTTCAGTTGTATCCCACACAAGAACCTACTCAGGGCCTGTGCGCCTGTCATTCCTGCTGTCCAGAAGGCTCCTTCCCCTAGGAATCCATAAGCTAAGCTCCCTCAGCTTCTTTAGGGCATTGGTTGTCCAGCACTTCATCTCACTAAGGATCAAGCGTTCTTCTCTGAGGAGGAATCTCACTTAACAGCATTCCTTAAGTGATTAACTTTTAGTGGACAATGTTTTTAATGTTACTAAAACTTGGTCAGCTGGGTATGGTGGCTCACACCTGCAATCGCAGCACTTTGAGAAGCCAAGACAGTCGTCTGAGGCCAGGAGTTCAAGACCAGCCTGGGCAACATGGAGAAATCTCATCTCTACAGAAAAATACAAAAATTGGCTGGGCATGGTGGTGCCCACCTGTAGTCCTAATTACTCAGGAGGCTGAGGTGGGAGGGTCACTTGAGCCAGGGAGGCGGAGGTTGCAGTGAGGTGAGAGATTGCACCACTGTACTCCGGCCTGGGCGACAGAGTGAGACCCTGTCTCAAAAACAAAAATAAATAAAAAATAATAAATAAATACATTAGCTGGGTGTGGTGGTGCACACCTGTAGTCTCAGCTGCTTGGGAGACTGAGACAGGAGGACTGCTTGAGCCTGGGAGGTCAAGTCTGCAGTGAGCTATGATCATGCCACTGCACTCCAGCCTGGGCAACTAAGCAAAAACCTGTCTCTTTAAAAACAAACAAAAAGGCCGGGCGCGGTGGCTCAAGCCTGTAATCCCAGCACTTTGGGAGGCCGAGACGGGCGGATCACGAGGTCGGGAGATCGAGACCATCCTGGCGAACACGGTGAAACCCCGTCTCTACTAAAAAAATACAAAAAAAAACTAGCCGGGCGAGGTGGCGGGCGCCTGTAGTCCCAGCTACTCGGGAGGCTGAGGCAGGAGAATGGCGGGAACCCGGGAGGCGGCTTGCAGTGAGCTGAGATCCGGCCACTGCACTCCAGCCTGGGAGACAGAGCGAGACTCCGTCTCAAAAAAAAAAAAAAAAAAAAAAAAAAAAAAAAAAACCAAACAAAAAAAAAAGATGGGAAACAGTGGCTCACGCCTGTAATTCCAGCACTTTGGGAGGCCGAGGTGGGCAGATCACGAGCTCAGGAGTTCGAGACCAGTCTGGCCAGCATGGTGAAACTCTCTCTCTACTAAAAATACAAAAATTAGCCAGGCGTGGTGGTGTGCACCTATAGTCCCAGCTACTTGGGAGGTTGAGGCAGAAAAATCACTTGAACCCTGGAGGTGGAGGTTTCAGTGAGCTGAGATTACGCCACTGGACTCCAGCCTGGGTGACACAGCGAGACTTCCATCTCCAAAAACAAACAAACAAACAGACAAACAAATAAATAAATAAAAGTGTTAAGACTGCCAAATAAATGGCCAAGTATAACAGCTTCTATAGCTGAGCCTTTCATTACTGAATGGAAGCTGTATTATACATGTGACCTCTATTTTGAGTTGCTCTTTTTGGCAAGACAAAAAAATGTGTTAGTTTCTTATGTCAGGTATTTAAATGTCAGCTGGACTATTTATAGTAGGACTATTCCTCTTGTAAATTTAAGCAAAGAACATCTCTATGGCTGAAAGGTTACCTTTTCATCTAACAATCAGATCTGATTAGGAAATCCTAACATTCAAATATCACAAGCTTGTTGCTATTAGTTTCAAAACAGTGAATTCAAGTTATATTTTTCTGATATTTAATTTTTACTTGTGAAGTAGGGCAAAATATATCAGTAATTAACCCTATACTTCCAACAGACATTTCCATCGGATTAGATATTCGATTACTTAAAACCAAGCGTGCAAAGCCCACATATACAACTGAACCAAAGAAACAGGTCAATTTATTTTAGGCTAGTATTTGGAACAGGAATTGAGATCCACAGAGGGAAAGGTCAGCTTTCTTTTGTTCCTGCATTATAGGACAATTTGATTCTGACTCAAATTGTAAAGCCAGCACCAGAAACAGTTCAATAAATGAAAAACTTTGGACTGGCTGATATCTATCTGTATTCCAACTAGGAGTTGTGATACACATATAAATATAAGAATAACTGCTATCTACTGAACAATTACAATAAACATTTATTTCATTTGAACAGCAGTTCTCAAACCTTTTGCTTTCAAGAATGCTTTATACTCTCAACAATCACTGAAGACCTCAAAGAACCTTTGTTTGTTTGTTTGTTTTGAAATGGTGTCTCACTCTTGTCACCCAGGCTGGAGTGCAATGGCGCGATCTCGGCTCACTGCAGCCTCTGCCTCCTGGGTTCAAGCGATTCTCCTGCCTCAGCCTCCCAAGTAGCTGGGATTACAGTTATGCGCCACCACGCCCAGATAATTTTTGTATTTTCAGTAGAGACAAGGTTTCACCATGTTGGCCAGGCTGGTCTTGAACTCCTGACCTCAGGTGATCTGCCTGCCTTGGCCTCCCAAGTGCTGAGTTACAGGTGTGAGCCACCGCGCCCGGTGAAGACCTCAAAGAACCTTTATGTGGGTAACACCTATTTATATTTGCCAAGTTAGAAATTAAAACCGAGAAATCTTAAAATTATGAACTCATTTAAAAGTAATCACAACAAACCATTATATGTTAAGACAAATAATAAATTTTATTAAATAACTATGTTTTCCAAAGAACAAAAGAAAATTAGTGAGAAGACGGCATGGTTTTGCAAATAACCTTGACATCTGGCTTAAAACAACAGAGCATATGAAGAACTGAGGTGAGGGGAGAACACACATGCTATCTAAAGGGGACAGTTACTCCTTAACTCTGGCCAAATGTCTACAGGCCAGATTCTGCTCATGGACCATCATGAGCTCAGAGAATATTTAAAACTCTTTCTTTTGTCAAAAGGGCAAGTGAAGACTGGTAAACACTGTGCTATCTGGCATTGGGCAGTTAAGAACTCTGTAAACCTTTATTCAACTAAATCTTGAAGAATTTAAGTCCACAAACTAGAAAGCTCCTAAAGTAGATTGTTAATCAGAAGTGGCAAGTTGCCACCAAGTTAGTTGGTATACTAAATTATACTGTGCTAAGAGCATAAAGCTCTTGGTGAGGAAGCATTCTGGGGCTCGTGATTTTTAACGTGTATAGAACTGGACTCACTCCACATTTATAAGCAAAAAAAAAAAAAAAAAAAAAAAAACCCAAAAAACAAAACAAACAAAAAAAACTACACATTTCAGAACCACAATGAAAAAAGTTTGCTAGGCTTTTTACCTGCTTGTCAAAATTTCCCTATACATAAATTATCATTAACATATATGCACACACACCTTCTCTCAGTGTGATAATTATCCAACACTTATCCAGCACTTTGCTAGACAATCTAGGGGCTACAAACAAAATAAAAAACTGGGGTCTCCCTAATGCAGTCTAAGGTGTCAATGTAGAAACAAGATATACACAAAAGGCAATTAAATAAAACCATATCAAAACATATGAGAAACAGAATCTACCAGAGGACAGTGTTACTTAGCCTTTGAGGGGTCATAGACTTCTCTGAAATTTGACAAAAGATGAAGAGGTTGGAGCCATGTTACTACTGGACTTTACCGTAAGGGTAATAGCGGGGAGCTGCATAAGGCTCGGAGTAGGGCAAGAGATAAGGCACATCCAAGTCTCCTAGGTAATGATCAGCTTTTGGGTATGCTACTGCTAATGTCTCAGGATATAGAGCCAGAAGCATTTGCCTAGAGCAAATACTGTGACCGAACGTGTGGCACCAAACTTCTCACAGGCCTGCATGATGGGAAGTAGAAGAGATGTAGAAGATAGGGTAATTAATTCAGCAGCTCCCATTCATTTGTATGACTGTGGTGGTAGTTCGAAAAACAAAACAACAAAACAACAACAACAATAAATACTGGCCTGTACGCAGTACTTCAGATAAATACTTGTTGAAAATTTTTAAAATTAAGCAAAAAAGGACAAAAGGTTGGCAAACCTCATTTGTTGTTCTAAAAAACAAACACAAAAGCGACCTTTTATGTGTCCTTGTATGCTCATTGTACTCTCACCAATGATCCTGGGGTGTCATGACGCAGAATCACT